GCTCGACATATGCTGTGGTCAGCCTGACATGGTAATTGGGCTCAGCGAAGCAATGTGGGTGGCCCAAATGCTGACCGCCTACCCAAACCGCTAGCTTACAGAGAGAAGGTGAGCCCTACCGGGGATGGTGTTGTCCAGGAAAAAGCCCAGGAATCCACCGACAAACATGCCCGTGGTCAGCAGGACCTGGATGACCTGGTCCAGTTGGAGAATCCCTAGAATGGAGACAAAAGCAACCAGGATTCCCAGGGGCCGAGGGCCCCCTGCCTCTGCCCCTGGAGAGGTCACAGTCTAGGAGACAGAGAATCACCTGTCTGGAGCTTCTCAGAGTTCTGGTTCACCCAGTTGGGAATGGCGAGACCACAGTAGATGGAGAAGCCAAAGATAAAGAGGTTCCTGGATGAGTTCATGTCCACGTACTGCAGGAGAGAAGCCCCCAGGGCAGCCCAGAGCCATCAGCACCCGTACTGCACAGCGATCTCTCTCTCCTCCAAATGCCCCCTCCCCTCCCACTGCCACCGGAGATGGGGGAGGGAGGCTGGACTCAGGGCATCACACGCAGCCGGCAAGCCAGGCCGGGGTTCCACTTGACCCTGGGAGCTCAGTGGTCAGGACCACCCGAGTCCAACTGCTGCAGTTTCTGTTTTCCAGAAGTCTGGGTGCATCCGGCTATTTCTTTCTTCCGTTCAGAGCCCACTGTGGTCTCTGGGAACCAAGGATTCCTTCTCCTCCTCCCCTGCCCAGCCCTGTTCTCTTCATCCCAATTCTCACGGGCTCCTTTCAAGAGATGCACTGGCCGCGCTTCAAAGGGTGCCTCGCCTCACCTGCAGATTGGAAATCCCCACGGCAGTGATGACACCAAACATCACCAGGAACATGCCTCCGATCACAGGGGTTGGAATGGTGGCAAAGGCAGCCCCGATCTTCCCAAATACGCCCATCAGGAGAAGCACGCAGCCGGCAGCGACCATCACCGTCCGGCTCCCCACCTGCTCAGGGAGACGTGGGACAAGACGCTCAGCTCCAGCCAGGCCTCGGCCTTGCTCCAGGGGCACCACACATCACAATCCGGTGGACTTGAAAGAGCAGCCGCATGAGCCCAGATGGCCCCCCTCTGCTCCCACATGGGGGTTGGGAAAGGATGAGGGTGGGACCTTGGGTCTCGGCCTCTGCCCTCATCTCTTCGCGCACTGCTCTATCCCCATCTTAAAGTCCTGACTCAAATGCTCCTCTAAGAAGGCTTTCCAGTGAGGCCGAAGGTCTCTCTTGGGAGGCAGTTGACCCAATGCTTAGGAATGGGCGTTTGAGAGCCAACGCCAGCTCTGCCCCTAGCTGCCTGTATGACTTCGGGCACATGACTTAACCTCTGCAAATATCAGCTTCCAAAACTGCCAAAGGGAGTTAATTAATAATACTTACTTCACAGGGAGGGAGCCAAAACACAAGAGACTCTTGAAAACTGAGAACAAACTGAGGATTGATGGGGGGTGGGAGGGAGGGGAGGGTGGGTGATGGGTATTGAGGGGGACACCTGTTGGGATGAGCACTGGGTGTTGTATGGAAACCATTTTGACAATAAATTTCATATTTAAAAAATAAAAATAAGAGAATACTTACTTCACAAACTCATTTTACAAGGCTAGCATTACTTTGATACCAAAGCCAGACAATAAAAGAAACTGCAGACCCACATCCCTGATGAATACTGAGGTTAAAAGTCTCAATAAAATATTAGGAAACCAAATTCAACATCACCTTAAAAAGATCATACACCATGACCAAGTAGGATTTATCCCTGGGATGCAAGGATGTTTTAACATATACAAATGATAAATGTGATATGCCACATAAATAAAATGAAAGATAAAAACCATACAATCATCTCAAAAGATGCTGAAAAGCATGAGACAAAATACAACATATTTTCATGATGAAAACTCTCAACATATTGGGTATAGAAGGAACACACCTCAACACAATGAAGGCATGAATATATGACAGTAGAGGTGATATGATCTTATATACAGAAAATGCTGAAGAGTCAACCAAGAAACTGTTAGACCCAATCAACGAATCAGTAGTCACAGAATACAAAAATCAACATATAGAAATCGTTGCATTCCTCTACAAACAACAAAATATAGGAAAAATAAATAAAGAAAACAATCCATTCATAATAACATCAAAAACAATAAACTACTTAAGAATGAATTTAACCAAGGAGGTGAAAGATCTGTACACTAAAAACTAAAAGACACTGATGAAAGAAATTGAAGAAGACACAAACAAATGGGAAGATACCCTGTGTTCATGGTAAGAAGAATTAATGTTAAAATGTCCATACTATCCACGGGGCACCTGGGTGGCTCAGTCAGTTAAGCGTCTGACTTCGGCTCAGGTCATGATCTCTTGGCTCGTGAGTTAGAGCCCTGCGTTGGGCTCTGTGCTGACAGCTTGGAGCCTGGAGCCTGCTTCGGATTCTGTGTCTCCCTCTCTCTCTGCCCCTCCCCTGCTCATGCTCTGTCTCTCTCTCTCTCTCTCACAAATAAACATCCAGAAAAAAATTTTTAAGAAACGACCATACTATCCAAAGCCATCTGTATAGTCAATGCAATCTCTAACAAAATCCCAATGGCATTTTTCACAGAAATAGGAAAAAAAAATCCCCAAATGCATGCGTAAATACAAAAGACCCCAAATAGCCAAAGGAATCCCGAGAAAGAAGAATAAACTGGTGGAATCACACTTCCTGATTTCAAATAACACTACAAAGCTATAGTAATTTAAACAGTATGGTACTGGCATAAAATCAGGCACATAGACCAATAGAACAGAACTGAGAGCCCACAAAAAAACCCCATGCAAACATGATCAACTAATATTTGACAAGGAAGCCAAGAATATTCAATGGGGCAAAGGACAGTCTTGTCAATAAAGAGGGCTGGGAAATCCAGAGAACCACATACAAGGAATAAAACTGGACCCCCTACGTTTCATCATTCAAAAAACTAAATGCAAAATGGATTAAACACTTATACGTAAGACCTGAAACCATGAATCTCCTAGAAGAAAACATAGGGAGAATCCCTTTGGAATTGATTTTTACAATTTTTTTGGATATGACACCAAAAGTGTAAGCAACAAAAGCACAAATCAACAAATGGGACTAAACAAAACAAAAAGGCAACCTACAGAATGGAATAATATATTTGCAATCCGTATATCCGATAAGGAGTTAATACCCAAAATATATAAGAACCTATACAACTCAATAACAACAACAGTAACAACTTAAAAATGGGCAGAGGAACTGAATAGACATTTCTCCCAAGAAGACATACAAATGGCCAACAGGTACATGAAAAGATGTTCAACATCACTAATCACCAGGGAAATTCAATCAAAACCACAATGAGAGACCACCTCAGGTCTATTAGATTCAGTTATCATTAAAAAGGTAAGAAATAATGGGTCTTGGTGGAGACGTGCAGAAAAGGGATCCTTTGTGTACCGTTATGTACTGTTTATTGGAACACAAACTGGCACAGCCACTATGGAAAACAGTATGGCTTTTCCTCAAACAATTAAAAATAGGATTACCATATGATCCAGCAATTCCTCTTGTGAGGATTTATGCACAGAAGCCAAAACACTAACTGGAAAAGATATCTGCAACTGTGTTCACTGCAGCATTATTTACTGCAGCCAAGATAGAGAAACAACCTAAACGTCTACTGATGGATGAATGGATAAAGAAAATGTGGTATACATACACAATAGCATATTACTCAGCCATAACAAATGAAATCTTTCCATTCTCAACAACATGGATAGACTTTGAAGGCTATGCTAAGTGAACCATGCTAAGTGAACTATGTCAGAGAAAGACAAGTATCGTATGGTATCATTCACATGTGGAATCTAAAAAAAGCTAAATTCGCAGAAACAGAGAGGAGAGTGGTGGTTACCAGGGTGGAAAAAACGGGGAGAAAATGGGAAGATGTTTGTCAAACAGTATAAACTTCCACTTAGAAGATGCATAAGTTCTGGGGATCTAAGTACAACATTGTGACTACAGTTAACAGCACTGTATTATATGTATACTTGAAAGTTGCTAAGAGAGTAGATCTTAAATGGTCACACTGTTAAAAAAAAAAAAAAAAAGAAATGGTCATTATATAACCTGATGGGAGGGTTAGCTAATGGTGGCCATCATGTTGCAATATGTTAGTGTATTTTCAAAGAAATACACGGTACAGCTTAAATTTACACAACGTTACATGTCAAGTATGTCTCAGTAAAGCTGGGTGGGGGGAGGTGGGAAGGCAAGTCTGGAGCACAGTGAGACACAGAGAGGCACCTGGGAGACGAGATGAAGAACACGCAACGGTTCCTCCATGAAGGTCAAGGGCCATAGGCATAAACAAAACAAGGCATAAACAAAATGTGGTGTGTGTGTGTGTGTGTGTGTGTGTGTGTGTGTGTGTGTATTATACATGGGATGGAATATTACTGGGCTGTCTGTGGACAGTCCTGGAGATAAGCCAGTCGCAAAACGACAAATACTGCACGATTCCACTCCTGTGATGTAACTAGTCAAATTCACAGAGACAGAAAGTAGAATGGTGGTTGACAGGTGCTAGGGAGAGAGGAGGATAAGGCCTCGTTTAATTGATACAGATTTCAGGTTTTGTGTTATGTGCCCTTAACCACAATGAAAAGTACTTTTTCAAGTATTTTTAAAAAGATACTCTAGTGCCGACTACTGAAGTCCATTAATGCTACGATAAGTAGCAGATTCTGCCTTTGTTTCTTTTTCTTTCCAGCCTAAGAGCTTACTTATTGAACTGTCTTCATTACAGGACGTGTGGCAAGAATTTAACCACATCAAAATACATTTCTTTTTTTTCCCGTTTTGTTTATGCTCCTAAAAAGGAACAACAAACAAAGGCTGGAATCAAAGCTAAAGGGAACACAGCCCCTGCCAGGGTTTTTATTTGGGCTCGCTGAGACCCGTGTTGGACTTCTGAACTCCAGATCAGTAAAAGAAGGAATCTGAGTCGTCTGAAACTGCGAAGTTTGTGATTAATTTGTTCCAGCAACGACAAGAGACTGAAGCACTGAGGACAGACTGGGGGGCACCCAGCCCACCCCATCAGTCACCGTCAGCAGACTTACCCTGGTGATACCCAGCGCCCCGACATTCTCGCTGTAGGACGTGGTCCCGTTCCCGGTCCCCCAGGCCCCTGCCAGCAGACAGCCAAGACCCTCGATGCCGATGCCTCGGTTGACCGCGTGCCTCGGAGGGGGTGGGGCGCCCACCAGCCGCGCGCAGGCGTAGTAATCGCCTACCGACTCCACCATGGAGGAGATAACCCCGGCAATGATCCCAAAGACCCCAGCCAGGCTGATGGTGGGGAGGCCCCACTGTCCTGAAAGAGCAGCACAGAGGGAATGTTAATCCAGAAGGCGGCAGGTTGCTGAACCCCAAATAACTTCTTTGCCGGGGGCGTCTTTGGAAAGCTTATAAAAATTCTTTTAACTTTTATTTACTTTTTGAGAGACAGAGAGAGACAGAACGTGAGCAGGGGAGGAGCAGAGAGAGAGAGAGAGAGAGGGAGACGCATAATCCGAAGCAGGCTCCACGCTCCGAGCTGTCAGTGCAGAGCCTGATGCGGGGCTTGAACCCATGAACCGCGAGATCATGACCTG